CTCTTAAAATAAAGTAATGTCTTATTATTTATTATAATTCCAATAGATTGTATTTACAAGTAGATTACGTCCAATTTGATTGGAACGCCGGGTATCCTACTCTAACAGTCACAGCCTTAAAGGCAACGAAAGATACAATATAACTCGAAAACATTCTGTTAGACTTAGAAATGGTTTTGAGTTTACCCATGAAAATCACATTCTAATCATCGTAATATATTAATATCTAATATATTTTATTTTAATTATTTATCACTCGATGTATATTAGATCGCAACTCCCAAATTAAATTAGTTTACATCGGCCTTGTGACCACTCAAGTGTTAGTTTATGTTGGAGCTAAACAAAATAGAGTCAAGTTCGAGCTCAAATATAAGCTCGATAAGTTAAGTCCGACTCGACATGTTTATACCCCTAAATTTTAATTGATGTGCATAAACATTATTATGAGAAAATCAATTTTGAAGAGATCGTAATTCAAGATATAATAATAATAATAATAATAATAATAATAATAATAATAATAATAATAATAATAATAATAATAATAATAATAATAATAATAATAATAATAATATTTGATCCATTATGAGGGATGACTAATTATAGACCCAAAGTTGTTGAAGTAAAATCGAATGGGATTTTTCCTCAAGTTTAGGGGGGATTTGTAAGCAGTCAAAACCAGTTAAAATCGATTAAAAATTTATCTCGAGTTTAAAATAGTTATTTAGAATAAAGTTGATTGAACGAGATCACATGGATTGTAATTTATTTATATTTAAAATTTAATAATTAAAGCTGGTATGATATAAAAGTAAGAGAGATGATGAGGTGACAAGTAGTTAAAATATGTGAGCAGATCAATATTGAAATAAAGTTGATGAGATATAGGAGATATGTGATTGATATTATTTAATTATACTGATAATATCGAATATAGTGTGCTTGAGTTAGATTTTGAATAAAGTGAGAAAAAAAATCCAATCAAAACCGATTTTGATTAGTTTT